ATACCAAACCCACCAGACTTGGAAGAATGGAGAGAGAGACTGTTCCATGTCGACGACATGATCACTCTGACTGAGGAGCAGTATGACGACTCCCTGGCATACTCAACGATATGCGCTGACCCCCTTCTTAGGTTCCAAACTTACTTCCCTCACATCGACAACGTCTACTCGCATCGCTCGACCCAGCGGCATAAACGCAAACGCTTCGTATCACACTACTGGGATTGCCGACTCAAAGGGCGACCACCAGGCACCAAGAAGTCCACAGATCCAGACAAGAAAAAGAGGAAGAGGGTCGCAAGAGAGCGGGACCTATGCGATGTCAAGATCAAGATCACCGAGTTCTTCGATCGACGGGAATATGAGGAACAACTTGGTCGACGACCACCAGGCACAGAGAACGACCCGCCGAGCCCGGTAGCATCGACTATGCCGCTGAACCCCAGCCGGACTGGGCAGAATCAGAATACGCAGTTCTTCGGGCAGCCACCGTTACTTCCGCAGCAACCGGCTGGAAGTTGGGATATGCCTCCCAACATGAGCGCTCAGCCAGCCATGAACATGCCAGAATACGCTCCTTCGTCCGGCGCTCCGTCAAAGAAGTTCTACACTTTCCAGAGGGTGAATGGAAATGGTGGGAATGGGAAAGGCGATGGCGTTGCCGGGCCACATAAACATTCTCTTGAAGAGAGTGACCGTGTGAAGAAGAATAGTGTCATTAGGTGGCAGGCAAAGATCGATAAAGATGACAGGAAGAGATCGCAGGTAAGCTTCACTTCTTTCTTTGATCTCAGACTCCGCTCTCCCGTCCCACCGACCCATCTAGCCATGATGATATGCAATGGCGATCCACACTGCCCGCAGATCAAGCGCATACGTCATTTTGATGCATGCTTGGAACACCGACTATGCCCATCGCTCGACTCGCAGTCATATAAGACAGCTTGCTTGGTCCTTACACTAATCCCAAGTTTCCGACATTGTCCATGAGTGCTTTCTGTAAACTTCGCGCATCGCCCTGTTTTTTACCATATCCCTGCACTCGTCCTTCCACCATCTCCAAGACTACATTCTGTTTAAATCCTTCTCCATCCCAAACACCATCTTTGCAAATCGCTAGTGTAACCGTTCGGTCCAAAATGACCGACACCAACCAGGGCGGAGATCCTTCCAAGAAGACGTACCACAAGAAAGCCACTGGCAATGCCTTGACAACAGTCAAGAACCATTCCAAAGAAGACGACCTAAAACTATACGGCAGCGCATTCTGGTAAGCCACACATCCCCAACTGCACCCCCCACGCTCAACCAACTAACCCCACCCAGCCCCTTCGTCCAACGCGTCTGGATATCCCTAGAGCACAAACAAATCCCCTACCAATACATCGAAGTCGACCCCTACAAGAAACCGCAATCCCTCCTCGACGTCAACCCGCGCGGTCTCGTCCCCGCTCTCCGCCACGGCCCTACATGGTCGACCCACGAATCAACCGTCATAATGGAGTATCTCGAAGACCTGCAAGCGGGACCCCATCTTCTCCCACCCGATGCGCAAACACGTGCGACTTCGCGCCTCTGGTCAGACCATGTTAATCGGAATATTATTCCGTGGTTTTATAAATTGCTGCAGTGCCAGGACGGCGCTGAACAAGTATCCCACGCGAAGGAATTGAGGGATCAGATTGGGAAACTCGTTGATGCCGCAGATCCCCCTGGGCCTTTCTTCCTCGGTGCCCACATCTCATTCGTGGATGTGCAGATAGCGCCCTGGGTGTTGCGGTTGCGGCGCGTGTTGGGTCCGTATAGGGGGTGGCCTGAGGCGGAAGAAGGGAGTAGGTGGAAGAGGTGGATTGACGCGATTGAGGCGGAGAGGAGTGTGAAGATGACGACGAGTACGGATGAGCTTTATTTGGATAGTTATGAGCGGTATGCGGAGAATAGGCCTGGGACTAGTATGTTGGCGGATGCGGTTAATAGTGGGAGGGGGTTGCCTTGATGGGAGTGGTAGACGTGGATGGGAAAATGATGATATTTGGACTCGGGTGTCTATTCAATGCAGATTACAGCTGATTCAGGACAAATACAGTGGTAATCAAAAGATCGTTACGAACTGGTTCTTGAAGCGGTTCAGTGCCTCCTCGCCATCCTCTTTGCTCAGACACATCGCGCCAAATCCGATTCTCACAAACTGAATCCTGCTCTCCGGGTCCTCCATTATTCTTGTCCGGATCTGATCAAGTTCTTCAAGTGGTTGGAGCAATAGGCCCAAAAATCTGTAACCCCCAGGATAAGGAAGATTTTTGATCGACCTGTGTTCTTCGAATGTGCGAATGATCAACAGGAATATGGGCTTATCGAAGACGTCGCCTGAAAGCAACAACTCTGGCTCGTACGAGTCGTCGAGCACACAGCAACAATCGTCTTCTTCAAGCCACTGAAGGTTCGAGGCCCAGCCCGGATTACAAGCGAAAGAGTTATCACGGTAATAAATTCCGCTATGATACTCCAGGAGTCTCTTCCATGGAGTCTCATGCTCTTTCCATATTCCCTCCAGTGGAAATAGGGGCGCTCGTAGGGTGATATGACCCCCAGAAACCATACCTCTGGGATCAACTGTACTGGGATAGGTACGGACGTCAAGAACCTCGGCGAGGTTCTTTTGACCTTTTAAGCGCCTCAAGTAATGCACTCCGCCTTCTATAGAGGCCCAAGACCAGGACGGTGGCCTGGATTGGGACTCTGATTCTTGTCTGGGACGTGCACCACATAGGGACCACCAAAGCAAGCTGCCTGGCATGTGAGATTCCCAAAGCCCGGCATGATAGCGGTCCGAGTCTTCTTGGAAGATGCTCGAAAAACTAGATAGTGCTGGCAACCTGTCTTTGCAAAAGCTGATCCCGCGTCCTGTGTAGTGCCTCACAATTTGCTCCCAGAGCTCGGCCGGCTTAGCTGGACTAGTACCGACGATTGGAGGTAGCTCAAAACGAGGACGCCAGCGACAGTCGCATTCGCAGGTTGTCGCCTCGCGACAAACGAACACAAACTCTTCATTTGTAAAATGAATTATTCGAGTAGATAGTAACTCTTCTTGGAAACACCAGGCACGCTCTCGCAGTGGCAAGCCACTAAAGTGCCCAAAAGGGTCAGGCCCCGAGTGATTGAACTCGTGCCGTATGACATCGCGAACGCACACAATAAAGGCCTTGTCGTGGTGGACTGCGTCCAGGTTCCGAATAACGGGACGACGATTCAGGAGCCCTTCTTGTCCGTTCCGTGACGCAGATGCCGCAATGGTGAGGTATGCATTCGAAAATATGTCGGCCATCTGTGAAGCTTGCTCGGCCCAATCGATAACACAACCCTGTAAAATGCCTGTCATGGTGGGATGACTTAGTAAAATTTGTCAGATACGGTCTAATTCGAGGACACCTACATAGGGAGTCGATCCAGATATAGTGAATACCGAGTTCGTGCGTCAACAATATGGCCTCTTGGAATGTCTTGGGTAACGATGTCCATTTGATACCTCTTGTCTTGAAAGCGGAAATTGTGGTGGTCGTTGTCTCGATGATTGGTGTAGAGCCCCAGCAATGGCTCAGAGCGGTATATCGGAGATCGACTTCTTTCAACGCTGCTTCAAGATTTGCCGTTTCGTACAAAAGCAACATGTCCTCACTATCGATATGTAGGAGCCGCTTTGGAATGAACTGAGGTGTCTGCAAACCCATCGAGCTTGGTTGCAGGCAATTGGCTTTGCACGTAGTGGTGTGCTCACTATTGCATACGTCTAGCATGCGACTGATCGGCTGAGCACAGTCTTGGATGCTCGCATTCTCATCGGGTTTGTTCTCGGAATTCATGAATGGCCAAGGACAGCTATCGTCTATGATTTGTCAGTAAACCGCCAATCCGGCCGCTTCCAAGTCTACCATATACGATATGTGAAGATTACCCGATGCGACGTGGAAGTTTACCATATGTTTCCCTGCAGCAATCAATACATGACATGTTGTAAAGTTGGCGACAGGAGAGGGACCCACCAATCGAAATGCCACTACGCGTCATCACACTCATCGTCGCTGCGTACCCAACTCCACGGCCAAGTCTCGGATACACATACACGCTATCATTATCTCGAATTATCGTATTGGAGTCAGTACAAGCAGTCACACCGATTCGCTGGAGGAGCTCGCATAGCTCGCATCCATCGGCCGCTGTGCGCCGCAATTCCGCATACGTTGTTTCGATCATTACTGGTACTGGCAATCGCAAGCTTCGACAAACTTCGCAATCTTCATCGCTCATTGCATGATCCAGCTCTTCTTCTGACGACTCGGCCTCCGAAAAAGACGCCGCATCATCGGGGTACGGATTGTTTGACATCGTGCCGCAACTGTGTTTATCGACTGGTCGCTGGGAATGGGTACTTTATGAAGAATAAGACGAGAACAGGCGAGCGACAGAGGTTGGAAGGTGTTAAGATGTGCTTGCGTGAGGGACAAGATAGTAAGGAGAGCTGACACTGAATGAAGAAGGCTGAGTCTCAGCCTGATGACGTCGAATCACGCTGTGGCTTTCATACTCCGTCTCCATGGGAGATCGGTATCCAATGAAGACCGATGCACAGTCTATTTCATATGAGGAGACAGCTCTGACCGATGACGCCTAGGCCATGCATCAAAATGCCACCTGCGTAATGGGATGATGAGTAGAGACGAAACACGGGACCCAAATCCTGGGCGGGAATGCTTTGCGCATAGCTCTGAAGGCAACGATGTGTGTACAGGGTGAATCAGCCTTCAAGCAAGTTGATATCGCCTTTTCGCAATGGTCGAGATGAAAAAAGGTGAGAGATTGCCCAAGAGAAAGCGCAGGCACGCGCTCCCCCCTCACTAGCGCGTCTATGAGGGGCAATCGCGGGGCACCAATCTACGCAGCAGCAGTCTCAACACCAAACACCGTCGCATAACAACTCAACTCCCCCACACACAACCGCAACCATGTTCAAGAAAGAGTAAGCTGCTTTACGCGTCGCCAAACAGAAAGAAAGGGCTAACAGAAACGCAGCATAACCTCAGGCGCGAAATCAAAGGTCAAATCCAGCGCCCAACGCGCCATCCGCTCAAAAGTCCTGGAGGAATATCCGAGATTAGAACCGTATATTGAGGATATATTGCCGAAGAAGGAGCAATTAGATTTGGTTAAGCTGTACGTCGCGCCCATTTCACATTCTCCAAGCACACCACCACGCATATCACGGTCATGGAAGCAACCACAAGAGGATGAAAGCTAACAACCTCCCTCACAGACCCGACCGCGTATCCCTCTACACCCTGCACTCAACCCCCCTCTTCTTCCAACACATGGACGACGCCCTCCTCCCGCACCTAACCCTCGTGCACAAATACCCCTTCGCCTTCCACCGGCTACGCATCGACCGGGGCGCCATCCGCTTCGTGCTCTCCGGCGCGACCTTAATGGCGCCCGGTCTAACATCGCCGGGTGGCCGCTTACCAGGCACGGAGTTAAGTGACGAGGACAAAGAGGTGTATGGGGCGGAGGATCTGAAGGAAGGTGAAGTGGTGGTGATTGAGGCAGAGGGAAAGGAGACGGCGTGTATGGTGGGCGTGCTTAAGATGGGGACGGAGGAGATGAAGAAGGTTAAGAAGGGGCAGGCTTGTGAGGCGGGGCATTATTTGGGGGATGGGCTTTGGGGGTTGAAGTTGGACTGAGTGGGTGAAGGTTTCGATGGCAGGGGCGAGATGAAGTACATGAGCAGCGAGTGGGCTTCAGAGTCACACGAACAGACCGGTTATCGATGAAGGGATGGATCACGATCAGGAGCCACTCAAGGCTCTGATCACAGGCACGACATTACAGCTTATCTTGCCATTCGCAAGATAGTTGTCGATCTTAGAACGGGATCTCCATGAATACAAACGAAGTTGAACATGGTATCATATTTCTAATCGTGAAGACTGCTTTTTCATAAGATCAATGCTTACATCAACCATCTACTCATTGCAATCGACTTGTAGCATCTTATTGCGGTGCGCCTCGGCCAGCACCACCACCACCACCTCCCATGAAGTTCCTGGCCCTGATATCTCGTTAGTCATAATTATGTCAATGAGCACGTCTTGAACTTACATCTCAGCCAGGTTAGGGTCGTTCATGAGATCCTGCATGTTGGGCATTCCACCTCCGCTTCCACCACCGCCGCCGCCTCGACCTGCGCCGCCACCACCACCACCGAACTGTTGAGCCATCTCCGCTATCCTTGGGTTGTTCATGAGGTTGCTCATCATGTCCGGGTTGCTCATGAGGTTCTGAGCCATCTGCCTCATCATCGGGTTCTGCATAAGGCCCGCGAGATCGGGCATGCCGCCGCCTCCACCGCCGCCACCACCGAGCATACCAGCCAGAGCGGAAAGATCAGGCATGCCACCGCCACCGCCGCCCATACCGCCAGCTCCTCTGGTAGCGTCGGGCGCACCGACATCACCACCGTCCTCTTCGACCTTCTTCTTGGCTGTCTCGTAGCCCTTGCGCATGACTTCTGAACCGCCGCCCTCTGCGTCCATGCCCGACTTGTATGCCTCCATAGCGCCCTTTGCGTCGCCGAGAACGTACTTAGCGAGACCGAGACGCGACCAGGCCTTGGAGTAGTTGGGGTCGGCAGCGACTGCCATCTCAGCGTCCTCCTTTGCGAGCTCGTGCTTGCCCTGGCCCGAGTATGCGGCGGCGCGGTTGGAGAGGTAGATGGGGTTGAGTGGGATTACTTCGAGAGCGGCGGTGTAATGCTTGACAGCACCATCGTAGTCCTTCTTCTTCATCGCCTCGTTACCCAGTCCCTTCAGTCTCTCGGCCTCATCCTTGTTTGGCCCGCCTGGTCCTGACCCAGCGGCAGGTGTCTGTGGCGTCGCTGGCCGGGCCTCCTTTGCCGACGAGGATCCCTCAGTTGTGGCGGTCGTCTTTCCCTTGAGCTTCTCGTAGACGTTGTAGATTGCGAGCAGGTTCTGGTCGCCAATGGCGTCCTTCTTTGCGGCCTCATCCGCAGCGTCGACCTTGAAAGCTTCGGCGATGCAGTTGGCGGCGACTTCGAGCTGTTCGGCGTCGTCGGGCGCTACAGAGCCGTCGGTCTGCGAGGTCTGGAGGAAGTCAAGGATGGCGAGCGCGAGGCGCTTCTTGGATTGGAAAGCCTGGGACTGTGAGCCATTGTTTACGTGCGCAAGTGGGGCAGACTTACCATGACGGCGTGATGTGTGTGTTGGAAGGGTCTCGCAGGCTGGGTATCAGGGACAAGGTAGTACGTTCCCTGGTAGTAAGCTTATGAACAGGTGTTCAGGTAGGTACAGGATTATGGTTGGTTGCAAGTCTGAGATCAACGCATTGAAACTCGAAGCTTCCAAGGTTCCGTCGGTCAATTGGCGGGGCAGTCCGCCGCCTGGCCAGTGCCAAGCTGCTACCACCAGCTCTGTAGTGTTCACTATCAAACGCCGCGAGCAAAGAATGTGAATTACATGAATTTGAGATTTAACTGGCGTCATTCAAGCCGTCAAATGCTTTCGTATACACATCTACTCTTACACCCCACTACTGTAATAACACATGCTAGAAGGTGAGATGGGTATCTACAAGTCTCTAATCGTCGCTCAATCCCTCCCAAGCACCTTTGGGCTTCTCTTTCGGCCACAGTGAGCTGAACCATGATTCTTCTTTTGAGAGAGACATGCTCTTAGCGCGCTCTTCCACTTCGCGATCTAATGCAAACCTCCGCATGCGCTCAGCGATTCTCGGGTCCAGCACCATCTCGTCCAGCCATACCCTCTCCCTAGCATCGCCTTCTTCGCGCTTTCGTGCTGTTTTGGACCAGTCTGGTTCTTCGTGTGCAAGTAATCGTTGTTGCTCCCACTGCGCCTGGCTGTGTCCGTCTTCATCGTTCGTGACAGACGCTTCGCCTGCAGTCTCGAAAGGTCGGTATGCACCGAGAACAGCGGCAGCAGTTTCCCTGCCAATCTCATCCGCCGCTTGTCGCTTGTTCAGGAAACGGAACATGCGAATGGGGAAGTTGAAGAATCCGAGGAGGTGGGGGAGAGGCACTACGGCGGCGGGACCAAGTGCTTGTGGGCAGTTTTGAGAGAGTACGGCGTTGTGGTATTCGGCGGTTGAGATGAATGGCGGTGGTTGCTTCTTCTTCTTGGGTTTGTTCTCCTCTTCTTTCGGCTTCTCAGCCTCTTCTGCCTTTGGAGTTTCGGGTGTAGCGGTAGGTGATGATTCGTCGGTCGTGGCAGGCGTTGTGCTGTCAGAGGGTGCTTCGGTCGACGCAGGCGTGGGTTCGATCGCAGCAACCGGTACCTCTACCGTCGGTTCTGATGATGGCGGAGGGTCCAGAGGTCCTAGCCAACCCTCATGTAGTCCTCGAACATATTCTTTCCATGTGTGTCTGCCGATAATAATGTCTCCCTCCGGTCCACTCCACTGGCTCACACCTGCTCTTTGCCTCAATCCTTCCAAATCTTCCTCAAGCCCTGGCTCTAATGGCTCAGCAGTCGCCTCGCCCCTCTTCTTCCTCAACTTCCGTATCCGCTCTGCCAATCCAGCTCTGACGTCTCCTTCCCTTCGGCCCTCGACCGCATCCCAGTCTAACGCCGCTGCGACAAGAATGGGCTTGACGTATTCGTGGAAGTGATCGCGTGCAGGTACTATTCCATCCGCCGGCGGTGCAGATAAAAATATAGTAAGCCTCCTCGGCAGCTGGTGTACGTCCAACGGCTCGTGTGCGATGTGCTCAACAACCTTCGCCCACTTCTTCTGTATGCGCTTCTTCTGCCTGCGATCATACATGACCGCCGCAGTCCAAGACCCAGTAATCGAGAGAAAAATCATCCAATTGCGCGACGGCAGCTTGAAGCGAAAGTTCGGCAGGCCTGTAATTGTTAGTAGTGCTCCGCATGAGACAGTAGACCCACGCACCCATCATTCTCCAGACGGGATTCGGAGGCTTCTGCGGTTTGCTGGGCCCGGCAGAAGCCTCGCCCGCAGCTGAGGCTTTTGCATCCGGTTCGGCCATGCTGGTGTGGGCGGCCGTTGGTGGTTGCGGTGTTGGTCGCGCGCCCCCAAAAATTTCCTTGACTGCCTATCGGCGAGCGCGGGAATGGATCGGAGCGGGCTAGTCATCACTCCCAACGACGTGACTTAGCGAGTGATGGTCCCCACCTCTGCCCCTCACCCCTCAGTGACATTATTGGAACCTTGGATCGCATTTCGCGGCTCCATTTTCCACACGTTCGCCGACGTATTATACAATAAAATTCAAGAATTTGCCATCAAATCACCTTCGGGTAATGCGATAACACCTCACGGTGGTAAGTTCTGCCTGCACGCAGTACCTATGAGACATATTCTAACTGTACCTTCAGGTATGGTCTAGTGGTATGACGTCGCGTTGTGGCTGGCGGACACCAAGTGTCCCGATCCAGATCCGCGCCAGCCTGGGTTCGAGTACGTTCTTTCCCAACACATTGGTGGTCCTGAGACATCGTCTAACATGTCTACAGTTCCCAGTACCGCCAATCTTGCGACATTCTTTTTTGCCTTTTTGATAGCCTTTTTGATAGCCTTCTTTGTAGAAGGCTAGTCGGCATTCTTTTTGCCTCTCAGACTTCTATCTCCAAGGACTGCAGGACTTCACATATCTGTATACATGGCTACCTTTCTTTAGTCGAATTGCATACTTTTTAGTTTACTGGATAGGGAGCATTATACAGACTAGAAAGCAGGTCACTACTCTCTGCTATCACAAAGGTCGCTTGTATACTTCTTCGAACACCTTTAGTACTTACAAAGCGATATGCTTGTTCTAAAATCTAATAATCGACTTTGACTACACCTCTGTGGCGCACATATATGCAGACTTGCTCACATTGCTCTCTGTAATGCATTAGAAGCTTCTTCTGCCCTTCAGACTTTGTCAGTCTCGTCTCTAGGGACAAAAGATTATGCACTAGGAAGATTAAGTTTAAGGATGTATTATATCTAGATGCTCGTTGATATTGGACTCTGCTATCCGAACATTACAAATTGGGCAGTCGACAAGTAATTTCTTCTGCACGACAGGATCATGCTCCTCGTCTCGCAGCCGTTTCTGGCCAGCGCTCGAGGCTGTAGCTGTGGATGAACGGACGGCATCATCCACGACTGCAGACGACACACTTTGACCATCATTCGAAGACTTGGTAGAGATTTCATCCTCGTCCCCAATGACAATCGGTACATCAGAAGTCTTGCCCTCCACCTTAACATCCTTCTTGATCCAGCTGTCCAGTTTATTCTTCTGCCGTCCCGCACGCTCCTTGGTACTCATAGCCTCCAGCTGTTTCTTCGTCGGCGCCGGTTCCTGGATCTTGTGATAAGTGCCCCCACATTCTGCCTGATGTCTTGAGTACCACGTGTCACCCTTGCCAGGAGCTCGGTTCATACTTCGCTTGACTAGGCCAAAGTATGGCGGCTGGCTTCTGCAAGGTCCGTCGCACTGCCAGACGTGGGTGCGGTAGCTGTCGACTTCATCGTGGAAGGTGTGGTAGATGGTGACTTCATAGTTGCCGTGGTTGTTCACGGCGTCGGCAAGCAGCTGGAAGCCGACGCCATGTCCAGTACCGTCATCCCCGCGCGAGTGCTTCCACGACGTGGTGATGAAGAAGTAGGCATGGATTGCTTCATGTAGCAGTGT